AAAAAAAAAAGAAAGAAATGCATTTTTCTTCTGGTACTGTGGATATGAAATAACTGAGACAGGAAATTGAACAAATACGTTTCAGCAAATAAAAAAAAATCAGGCAGCCACTGAAAAGTGCAATGCAGAACCATATCTAAAGGAGCATGAGGGGATGATTTAACTAATGCGTGGGCCTTGGCGAACTTTAGAGGAATGAATGTTCCATGCGTGCTCAGCACAGCCTCTGGAAAGTGCGCGGCTGGGTTTGTCAATGGTTATCTCAGAACAAACAGGATTTTTGCCACCTTTTATCTTTCTTGCTTGTCAGTATTTCCCTCTTTCTATAGTGAGCATGAACTCTTTTTGTTAAAGGAAATAAATTAATGAAAGAAACTTAATTTGAAAGAAAATAATGGCTCCAGGTCTTCCTGGACAATAAAAACATTTAAACCATGAAAAAGAATAAATAAATAAATAAATAAATAAATAAATAAATAAATAAGAAAGAAAATATTGAAACCTTCCAGTTATCGGTCCTCTCCTGGACACAACACTGTGCCTCACTGGGCTGGACACAATGCCCCCCTCACAAAGAGAAAAAAGCAAACATTGCTGGCTGGCTGTCTGTGGGTTACGTACTGTGGGGACCAGCAGGTGATTCTTTCCCTGATCTAAATCACTAGAAGTTACACTACATTAAGGCATCCCTTTGGGCTTTGCATCTGCTACTTAGCTGGCTATAGAAAACGTACTTTCTCCTTTTGATAGGGGGATAAAATTTATTCTGTAAATAAGGAAGCTGCTATCCCAAAAGATAAAGCTAAGCCAGGCATCAGGGTCAGGGCACAGGCTAGAAAATCCATCACTGTAGTGAGGCTGAGACTGGAGGATCACAAGTGAAAGTAAGCCCAGCTTGGGTTACTCACCAACTTAGCAAGACTATGTCCAGAAATAAAAAATTAAAAAGAGCTGAAGATATAGTTCAGTGAAAAAGCTATGGCTTCAATCCATAGTACCAATGAATTTTTTTTTTTAAGAAAACTTAAGGCTAGAGTCAGGCTTGATGGCACATACATGTAAACCTAGCACTCGGGAGTTGAGGCAGGAGGATCATTGTGAGTTCAAGACCAGCCTGAGCTCAAGGCCAGTTTGAACTGCATAGCAAGACCCTGTCTCAGAAAGACCAAAAAAAAAAAGGAAGAAAGAAAATAAAATGAAGTATAGAGTAAAATTAGATGAAGAAACAATGTTGTCCAAGAATATTCCGAAGCCTACGCAGGTACAGAAGGACAACACTTGATTATCGGGTATAGGCAAACAGACCCAACCCAAAGGCATTTTTTCTTGGTGGTCCCACACAATATGCTATAAATCTGGAAAAGGAAACTTGAAATCATTAAGGTCACATATTTATAACATCATATTCAATTAGGTTAGAAAAGTGCAATATCTGTCATCATGTCATAAAAAGATGTGTTTTTCTCTCAGATCTTTTGGAAAGAAAAGCTCCCAATACTGTTACAGATAGGACTGTTTTCAATCAGTTACAAGAAGCAATTCAATTACAAGAGGGTTTAGTGCAGTAACTGACTCCAGACTAATTTAATTTCTTTAGGTCTCTAAAGATCAATTGATCTGATTTGTCCCATCCCCAAAGGCTATTTAGGAAAAACTCAGACTTAAATACCTGGAAGTGAAATCTAAAACCTTGGCCAGGTTCACACTGCTTCGCTCATCTCGCAAACTTTCAGCTGGTCCTATAGCGCACTCCTTGGCGCTCAGACCATGAGAGCCGCTTTGCCTCACATACGCGTGCTGAGTGCTCTCAGGACTTACTCAGTGACTGAGAAATGTGGTTGGGCGCTCTATCAGACCTGCCCTTCTCGGGGCAGCAGGCGGGGTCCTCCCACCTCATGCCCACGAGTGTGACTGCAAGGCCGTTTTTACTCCAGGAGCAGCTCGTGATGGCCAGGAAAAGCAGACTTGGATGGGGAACAGACAGTGCCATACAAGGCTCATCTCACAAGAAGAGGAACTTAGCACTGCTGTGCACTTTGTGATTTATGGGGTGCTTTTGTAAACGTCTTAAATCGATGCTGCAATAAACCTTCGAGCCAGCCCGCTATTGTCTCCATTTTCTACATGAAGACACAGACGGAAGCTCAGCGACTTCTCCAGGATCAATCACCCAGGAAAAGGCGGAGCGGCACCTCTGCCCCACGACCATTTCCTCCCAGCAGGGACAGCTTCCCGCCCACCTGTGACAGAAGGTGTGACAGGCTCTAGGACAGTGCAGCACTACTACCCCCACCTGACTCCAGTCTCCACTCTTACTTGAATCCCAAGAAAATTGAGAAAAAAAAAAAAAAAAATCACTCGAAATGATCCCACCCCACAAGCCACTCTGCATCGGAGCTGCTGACACTCAGAAGAGAATGGAAAAGTCATTGCTAGAGGAAGGCGCCTTGCAAGTAAGGGTCCTGCTTGCTGCGCAGGCTGCTGTTAGCTCTTTCTCACTGACTTCCGCCGCCCTGGCCAGAGAGCTGCGCACTACCTTCTTTCCGCTCTTTGCAATGGAATTTTCTACCGGAGCCCAATCTTTCTGAGCTCATCACTCGAACCTCTCCAAATAATCTCTCTTTTTGACTCAAATTGCACAGTTTTGTCCAATGTTCAGCAGGTCCCGCTGACCTCTCTGCCTCCCCACCAAGCCTCCTTAGTCTTCTCCCACCCCATGAACCACCTCCCCATACTCTGCCACTGGGGAAGGCTTAGGACGAGCCAGGCCGAAGCTGCTGAAACACGGAACTGGCCCTTGTGTGGAGCTGCCAGGACGGGCTGGGCAGAAGTTCAGAGTCAGCTGTGGCCACGTGGTAGGCAACAGAGAGCTGCCCAGTGGCGGGAATGTGCCCAGGTGGGGAGAAATCACACAAATGTGAAGATACAGTGAACGAGAAGGCTGCCGACTCAATACCCCACCTGTTGATAGGGACATCGGGCCACAAAATAAGATTAAATGTAGAAAATCAATGTGTTTAGGACATACAAATGATGGGCGGGGCAAATTTTGCATTTTATTGGAACAACTATGGCTGAGACTATGGTCATGTGCTCCACCTGGGGCTCTCAAACCACAAGAACCATCCTGGTTGAAAGAAGTAGGTAAGTTACAGGTCCACGACTACCATTTGTCTTCTTAGCTTCTGATGTTTCTCCTTGAAAGATAAGCAGTCTACTCTATGGGTTAAACCATGTGACCTTGAAGTAAACGGCATGGCCTTCTTTCACAATTCCAAATTGCCCTTACACTCTGAAAATAAGATCATTTAAGGAGGCAAAAGGCCATCACGGTCCCATTTCTCTGCAGATTGTCATTTGTCAAAACATAGAGCTTATTAACACCAAGAGGACTAAGTCTTTGACACCATCAGCCCTGTGTTTATGGCCAATAAGGGCCCTGACCACACACCACCTTCTCTAAGGACATGACAGCTTGGTGTGGCACTCGCAAGACTTGAGCAGCTGCGTGTCTGCTGGGCCTACAGTTGGAAGGAAGGACACAGAGACTCGGAGACCAGATAGAATCAGGTTAGTGTCCCAGGTTAGTGTTCTTACAAACCCACTCTTGACTTTATCTTATCTGGACAAAAGGTAAGCAGAAAATTCTCATTACCTCTCAATGTCAGTGAGCCTGGAGGAGTCCCGGAACCCTTTGGCAAAAGGATTGCTGTCTATTTTCAGCTTGGTTATCTGGAAAGGAAAGAATGGGTACGAGACAATCTCATTTGTGAGGTCAAAGAAGTAAAACCCGAAACAAATTTTCTTCATGTCCATGGTCCCCCAGGAATATCTCAGGGTCTCTCAGCATTGTGAGCAGGGCTTAAGGTGCTGGACGAGTGACAGGAAGATGGGTCACGGCCAAGCTGAAGCCAGTTAGGCTGAGGGCTTTTCAGGAGAAGTGGACAAGCACTGGGGTGTGACATACGTGAAACAGACGTGACAGGCAATGGCTCAGCTGGGGAAGTGGGAGCCGCCTTAAGGGCAGCTGGGTATAGTTCCAGCATTCCAGGAAAAGGGGGAATAAGTGCACAAATGTCTCATTTTCACTTGGCAGCACCTTGAGTTAATACCACGAGCATGTACACACACCAGGATGGATAAGAATGAAATGTCCAATAATAGCATCACGTGCAATGCTGCAAAGCACAGGACACGCATCCTTTGGAACATAGATCCATTCCCACTCCCATTCATTTCACTGAATTAGAATCTAATTAGACCACACCTTATTCTCCTTCTATACAATGCAGTTTATTGAATGCTATGTTTCTATGGAAGCAAATACTTTTTTAGGAAGAACTGCTGTCCCAATCATTGTCTGTGGCAGGGCATCTGTAATCCTCCAGGACTCAATGAACGCAGGACGATCCTTCAGACTACATGCACCCGGCCTGCTGAGGAAGCCACCTCAGATTGTGAGGCAGAAGGAAAGGAGACCTCCTCCATGAGGGAATTCCTTGTGAGTGCAGAGAGGACCCACGAGACTGTGAGCCCACAGCCTAGACTGACAGACGGTCACATTAAGGCACAAAGGGTGAGGACCATGACACCGAGTCAGTCACTGAATTAGAATCAGGGGGAGGCCCCCAAGGGAGCTGCAGCCGTGAGCATCAGAAGCAGAGCCCACATTCACCTTTGGAGAGAAATGGACACAAAAGGCCCTGAAAGGGGAAAAAGTTACAGAGAGAGGTGAGGCCTGTCCTCCTAGCTGACTAAGGAGCCAGAGAAACTCACAGTCTGAAATATTACTTTCCAAAAGCAACTTATCCTCAGGTCAGAGTATATCCACAGTTCACTTTAAACCATTAACTCCCTCAAAACTTCTTTGTTTCATGAGTGAGGCTATTTCCTTTTGCAAGGTTTTCGAAAGTGAGCTGAACGTGCAGAGTTGCAATAAAGCCACCCTACGCTCAGCCTCCCTGATCCTGACCCTCCTTTACCAAGGCGCCTCCCCTCCAGAACAGCTGGGATCTGGTAGGCTGCTCTCTGCTGTCTGTAACTGGCATCTGGAAGACTCTAGGAACATGCCAATCCTGAAGGGCACTGGAAAGGGTCTCCAAAGTGCTCGCTATAGCCCATGAACACTTCCTATAGAGCAGCTAAGAAAATAACTAATTTCCATTTTAGCTTAGTAATAGCAGTCAGTAGAGAAGGGAGGAAATTTGGTAGGAAATAGACATCTATTTGCAACAGAGAGTAAAGCACCCTACAAAATACACTTAAGGAAACATGTCCAAGTCAGCCAGGCAGAGTGGGACACATAAGCAATCCCTGCACTTTGGGAGGCTGAGGCAGGAGGCTGGCAAGTTCAAGTTCCACCTGGGCAACTTAGTACAACTCTGTCTGAAAATTAAAACTAATTATAAAAGGACCTGGGGGTGTCACTCAGTAGAAGAGGGCCCTTGGGTTTCATCCCTAGGTCCACAAAGTGAAGCTCGGGAGGTATGTCACAGCATTGCCACCTCTACAAAGTTCCCATCAAGACTCTGTAAAGAGCCTTGTCTTTCACAGGGCTGCTGCTCCCTGAGGAGCTCTCCGCTGCAGGCCCTATTTTGAAGGTCAGTGTGGGGAAAGAAAGAGAAATTTATATTCATTTGAGGTAAACTGTAAACACCTTTAGCCCTAGCAATGCTTCTAGGTACCAACAAGATCTAAAACCCCTCAAAAGGGGCTGGTGAGATGGCTCAGTGGTCTAAAGCACCTACTTAGAACAAGCTTAGCAAAGCACAGGGACCGCAGTTCAATCCCCCAGCACCACATGCCAGCCAGCCCCGCCCCCTGGTGGGCTGAGCTGGCCACACACACAGAAATAAATAAATAAAAATTAAAAAAAAAAAACCCTCAAAGACATGCGCTGAGTCCCTTTCTATAGAATTCTTATAATTCAAAATATGTTCTGTTTCCAAAGTGCTTTATGGCTCTTGAAAACACTTTCACAATCTTTCAGCAGCAGCTGACTACTTAATGGGGACTGGTGACCTGGCCAGAGCCCTGAGAGACGCTGAACAGGACATGGATAAAGGATGCAGGGTTTCTGAGCTGAGGGAGCTGAGCACGCAGAGTCACCTGCAAAGCAGGATGGGAAGGTGGCACCCAGCCCTCAGAACCAGGGACATTAAGGGTGAATCCAGCCCTGATGGAAATTCCCAACTAGAGCCATGGGACAGAACGACAAAGGCAAATCCTCCTTCCAGCAGCATGTTCATGAGACTGCAGAGTGAGAGGGTTTGCAGAAGCTCCAGGTTTCTGGAGTTGGTCATGGGTTTCCTATCAGAATGACAAACTATTATTGAAAGAAGTTCTCTTACAGCTGCCCTCTTCACTGTGAGCCAGAGTGGTGTCCGGCTGCATGGAAGTAGAACAGAAAGCAGTGGCTGCTACAACAGTCAGACACTTGGTCCCTAAAGAAGAGTTGCAACTTCTGCCTGCTCTTCACATTTCCAAAGGGAGGAGCTCAGGGCAGGACGAGTGTGTGGCTCCTTCCATCCCCAGAGTGTGGCTCTCAATACACGGGTGTCTTTCCACCAGCGTGTCTGTCACCTTATCTAATGTTACCGCTGCACTCGGGCACAAAGAGGGCATGTCCACTCTAGAAGTTTCAATCTTAATTTTTTCTCTGCACTCTGAATTTTAAACTTTAATAAAGCTGCAAGAATAGCATATGGTGCTGTATATACCTGTTTACCAATCAGGTTCAGCAATGACTTAAACTTAAGGCATCATTTAGAAAAAAGGACTCGGGATATTTACCAGATATATACTTTCTTCATGGATCATTTTACCTAATTCTAGAGAAAATAATTGCATTCAGATATTAAAGCAAAAAAGTGGAATGAATTTATTGTCACTAAAATTTCACGGGGACTCTGAGAAATAGATATTATACTTTTATGCCTTATTTTATTGTAAGGATTAAATACAGGGAGTCCTGAGCTATATCCTGAGCTTTAAAAACAAAAAGAAAACAAAAAAAACCCTCTTACATATTTTTTTTTTTTTTTTTTTTTTTTTTTTTTGCAGTACCATGGATTGAACTCAGGACCTTATGTTTGCCAGGCAAGCACGCATTCCACTGAGCTACTCCCCGGCCCTTGTATATTCTTTCTTCCATGTATCTTAGTATGTACTTGCTGTACACCATGGATATATTCATCATGGGGAACTGGATGATGTATGTAATACATCTTAATTCTATTTCCTCCTCTTCACTTCTTCCTTTCCCCTCCTTCTCTAGTTCCTCAAGAACAATCTCCCTAGTTTGTAATACCAGTCTTTTATTTTGTTCTTTTTTTTTTTTTTTTTTCTCGGAACTGGGGATTGAACTCAGGTCCTTGCGCTTGCCAGGCAAGTGCTTATTCTACTGAGCTATCTCCCCAGCCCCTATTAGTGGAAGCCAAGTGGACTCAGAATCTTTCAGATATCCACAATAAAAACCCAGGAAAAAATTGTTTTGCTTTATTTCAAAAACAAGCAGCCAGAAATATGATTGTATTTTTAAGCAGTTACCACATAGGTGGAATTCTGTATCTACTCAAAAGCATTTAATACTGGTTTTTAACTTTAAGGTAAAATAATTTTTAAATAGTAAATGTTTACATTTTAGCTAATTACACATATTAAAACATCAGACAAAGAGGCCAGGGAGATAGCTCAGTAGAATAAGTGCTTGCCTGGCAAGCACAAGGACCTGAGTTCAATCCCTGGTTTCGAAAAAAAAAAATTGGACATAGATTTTATTCTATAATATTTAAATAAAAAGCCAATAGCTGTATAGAATTAAGTTCTCTTTTGAAGGTGCAGTTTTATGAAATCTGTGGTAACTGCAAAAGTAGCACTGCAGAGTTGACGAGAAAAAGGAGCTGAGTTATAGCCTGTGACTGTGGACAGCTGGACACCAATCCATTCCTGTGGTGACAGGGGGTCTCTGCAGCTTGTCAGGCCATAGGACAATAGTACCCTTGTCAATGGTCATACTGAAAGAAGTATCAAAAAAAAAAAAAAAAAACTGACTTGGGGTAGTGACACATGCCTACCATCCCAGCATTCTGGGAGGCTGAGGCAGAAAGATTGCAAATTTGAACCTAGTCTGGGCAACTTAGCAACTTAGTAAAACACTGTCTCAAAATAAAAAAAATAAATAAAAATAAATTAAAAAAAAACATGGCTGGGGATGTCATTCAGTGTGAAGATCCTGGGTTCAATCCCAGCCAACGAATGAATGAATCAATCAACAAATCAACATCCACTATACATCATTCCAGGGAACCAGAAATGTGGCATCTTTACCACTCCAAAGTAAAATTTTAGAGCAGCAGTGTTTCTTACGTGGTGCAGAGAAAGAAAGTATTAATGAGTAAGGATAGCAGTGTGCGCTTCAGAAATCCTCTGAGCATGTGTCTACACGCATCCAAGTTACTAGTAGTTCGGGATCAACACAACCGTTTCTCCACATGACACAGTAATAATGTGGAATGTAATGCATCTCCTAACCAGAAGATTCTCTCTTTTAGCACCTCCACATCTGCACAGAAACACGAATGTAATCAGAGGGCAGATTCTCACATCACCAGCTGTGTCCCCGGGAAGGGGGCTTCTGCGGAGCTCCCCCTGGCCCCGAGCATCATGGGACTGGAGTCCATCAGGCTTCCCAGCTGTGGCGGGCATTGGCCCTCGGGGACCATTTCTCCAAT